GAACTAAAATCTCTTCAAAACAAGTCGAGATATGTGTATGTCAATCAGTATTTCACTACATTTTTCATCGGAGGTTTACTATACGAAAAACTGACATTTTACAAATTATACAAGTTTTAGTAATTGTTCTAACCACAAAAAATGTATTTTCTTATGTCCACTTACACAAATTTGTTTTTCGAATATTCAAACTAATCGCTAGTACACTAACATTTTTAATACCATCTAATGATAGTTATCAGCGGTTTCAACAGTATAAAATGCGTAAAAACCCTAAAGAATATTTATACTGCTTTTTTGTCTAAAAACCCAGTTATCCATGACTGATATCAAAAAATGAATCTCGGAATTTGTCAATAACGCCGTGTGTTGAAGTTTCTTTCGCGTGTAGATTGAATAATTTTCATTATGAATCATGTTTTGGAAGATATGGTGCAAATGGTCTATGCTTTTGGGTAAAGTGACGGAAATTGCTTTCTTGCATCTAGGATTTACAAAGAGAAGTTCCCCGAAAGAAGACAACCAAATGGAAGGATATTTCAGGCTCTAAAATGAGCAGGGAATTAGGATTTTCTCAAACCAGCGTGTCTTGAATGATACGAGCAAGCAAATTCCATCCTTACCACATGCAATTGATGCAAGAGTTAAGAGGAAGAGATTTTGAAAAACGTGTTCAATTTTGCCGATAGGGTTTAGAAAACCTCTATTTTGTTCGTTGCCTGAACCATCAACAGCGTTGGGTACTGAATGTTTGGGGTGGAATTCTCGGAAAAAGAGTTATCGGCCCGAATTTTTGGATGGGCATCTCACTGGAAAAAAATATGTAAGATTTTTTTGGCATGAATTTTCGAATTTATTAGACGGGGTTCCATATAGAACAAGACTTAGAATGTGGCTACAACAAGACGGTGCACCACCACATTTCAAAACTGAGGTACGGGAAAACCTCAACGATCATTTCAATCAAAAATGGATAGGTAGCGGTGGGCTTTTGGCGTGGCCACCCAGATCACCTGACCTGACCAAAATGGATTGTTTTATGGGGGTATATCAAATGAATTGTCTACCAAACTCCTCCAATATCAATCTATAGAAGACATGAAACGAAGAATAACTAGAGCGTTCAGGGAAATACCAGAAGGTATTATAGGTATGAGAAATTTCATTTACATGGAACCCTATTATCCTCAATGGCAAACTTCTGAGTTTCGAAATAAAACGCTTGTATCACTACCTCATCAGAACCTTTCTAGATAATATTACAAGATGAAGCGTCTCATGTCACGATGACAGTACGTTGTGACGTTTATTTGATTCGATCCCAGCCAAATGAAACTTCTTTGAAAAAGTTATTTTTGTATATACAGGGTTAGTCAACAAGATTCCCTCGGTCCATTGCTATCAGAAGAAACAATTTTTCTAACTGCTCATTTTTTTGCACTCATGTCGAGAAATATTATCTTTCAAAATTATTTTCTCGCATACTGGGTGATTCAACCGAGCGTGGCCAACAGAAGTTATATTTTTTTAAATAGAACACCCAATATATGAATACGTCATTTGATTCCATATTTTTTTAGCTTTCTAAGGACGTTTTGTTTTCGAATTTCCATTGCGGCACTGACAAGTTATTCGAGAAAAACCTATTTTGCAAAAAATAATTTTTTAATTCACCACTCACTGGATTTTTTCAGGGATAGTTAGTCAACATCATAATGATAATTTCCAGAATCTCAACTTTTGTAAATAATATATAGGGTGCTCGGTGAAACCGGTCAAGTTTCATTCATTTTCAAATAGACATAATTCAACTTTTTCAAATGGAACACCCTGTATTTCACTACATTTTTCATCGGAAGTTTACTATACGAAAAACTGACATTTTATAAATTATACAAGTTTCAGTAATTGTTCTAACCACAAAAAATGTATTTTCTTATGTCCACTTACACAACTTTGTTTTTCGAATATTCAAACTAATCGCTACTACATTAGCATTTTTAATACCATCTAGTGATAGTTATCAGCGGTTTCAACGGTATAAAATGCGTAAAAACCCTAAATAATATTTATACTGCTTTTTTGTCTAAAAACCCAGTTATCCATGACTGATATCAAAAATTGAATATCGGAATTTGCCAATAACGCCGTGTGTTGAAGTTTCTTTTGCGTGTAGATTGAATCATTTCCATTATGAATCATGTATTGGAAGATTATGGTGCAAATGGTCTATGCTTTTGGGGAAAGTGACGGAAATTGCTTTCTTGCATTTAGGATTTACAAAGAGAAGTTCCCCGAAAGAAGACAACCAGATGGAAGGATATTTCAGGCTCTAAAAACAAGATCTGAAAGAACTGGTGAGTCAATCACGAGAATTTCGAAAGTATCTGCCCTGTAACAAATGAATAGAATACATTTCAAAAATTGCTCTTCATATTTTTGAAAAATACCCATGTGAGTACCCAAGACTTGAGCAGGGAATTAGGATTTTCTCAAACCAGCGTGTCTCGAATGATAAGAGCAAGCAAATTTCATCCTTACCACATGCAATTGATGAAAGAGTTAAGAGGAAGAGATTTTAAAAAACGTGTTCAATTTTGTCGATGGGGTATAGAACAGATTAATCAGGAAAATTATTTTTTCGATTTCGAAAAACCCCTATTTTGTTCGTTGCCCTAACCATCAACAGCGTCGGTCACTGAATGTTTGGGATGGAATTCTCGGAAAAAGAGTTATCGGTCCGTATTTTTTTAAAGGGCATCTCACTGGAAAAAAATATGTGATTTTTTTTTCGGCATGAGCTTTCGAATTTATTGGACGGCGTTCCATATGGAACACGATGCACCACCACATTTCAAAACTGAGGTACCGGAATACCTCAACGATCATTTCAATCAAAAATGGATAGGTAGGGGTGGATTGGAAAATGGATTGTGTTATGGGGGTATATTGTTGAGCAATTCCAAAAATTATTTTCCCTGATAGCAGTGGACCTGAGGAATCTTGTTGACTCACCCTGTATAATTCAATGTTCATATGAAAGTAGTTCTTTCAAGAAGGCTTTTTTCTTCAAGTTTGTATCTGAAAGTAACTTCTGTGATATCTTCCGTTCTTTGGAAATTTTACACAATTTTTTGTATAAAAATGAAGAAACCAATCTCTTTCGAATATATATATACCTTTCAATTCATATAATTTGTTATTGAAAGTCATTTATTTTCTGTAGAAATTCTTGATCATGTCATTCATTCATTGTTTTAGGACAAATGTGGTTATATCATGATTTATCCAGTGGATTATTCACCAAATGGGTGGCTTGGATATGCATACCATTCTGTCTCGTGATGTGGGATGTCGGGTTGACACATTTATTAGCTCCTCAAGCTGCTGGTAAGTTGGGTATGAATTATTTCATTGAGATATTTCAATAATTTTCCCAAGGTTCTGGTATCCCCCAACTGAAGACTAGTCTCAGAGGTGTTTTCATGAAAGAAGTTTTGACATTCAAAGTTCTTATAGCCAAGTGGCTTGGAATTATAGCGACTATTGGTAGTGGAATGCCTCTTGGCAAAGAAGGACCTTTGATTCACATGTCAAGCATAATTGTTACCAAAATGAGCAACTTCATATCAAACTTCAATAAGATTTATGACAATGAGAGTAAGAAGATTGAGATGTTGGGAGCTGCATGGGCTGTTGGTGTGGCTTGCACATTCAATGCGCCAATAGGAGGTAAGAGTAATTGTAATTAGTAGTGGTAGTAGAAGTATTTATTTCCACAATACAATTTATGTAGGTCCCTAGCCATCGGTATAAGGAAAACAGTAGTAGTAGAGTATATTCACAAAAAGAATTATTAACAAAGTTTCAGACATCAATTAAATGATAAAAACAATATTTATCTAAATATTCTGGTATCGATTCATACAGCAGGCAAAAACGATTTGACAAGAGTATATTTAGTAGAAAATACATGGATTTATCACACTTTCAGTTTCTTGTTGGGAAGAATTCATTAAGATTGAAAAAATATGTGCTGGTGTATAAACTGCTTCAAGGTTTTTTTATACTTCTCAATTGTCAGTTTTTTAGGGCACAAGGCAAACTATTGTTAATTTTCATTCCTGTGTACAGAGAACCATTAGGTTTTTTTGGTAGTAATATTTAGGTAACGTATTCAAAAAACACTTCATTGTGAAATTTTCACTAAACAGTTTTCATTTCAGCTTGTTTTTTTGATAGAGATAGCTATGTTCGGCAGTTTCTTACAGTTTTTTTTTTAGTTTGACAACACAGACTAACGGAATACTGTAAATCCAATTTCTCATTTTCATTCTTCATTCGCATCTATCAAGATCTCGGATCACCTTGAAAAATATTAGAACCGATTCAATTTTTCAAAAAGATCAGATAAGTGAGGTATTGATTCCAAGAAAGTAATAATTGTTGTAAATTTTCTCATTAGTCAGTGGGCTATGCTTGAAGACTGGCATTAAACAAATCTAAAGAAATGATCTTTAGACGTTCAAGCCAGTCTCGAATATACCTACACAGTAGGTTGAATGGACTGATGCTCATCAGAAAACAACTACTCCCCTGGCTAATACTAGGAAGGGCGTTGGATTATATCCGACAGGCGTCAGTGCAGGAGTCTTCACAGAAAATGTCCTGCATATGTAATAGGCAATACAACTGAAAGAGTCGACTGTCAGTTTTGGAACGGGCATACTTACAGACCGCTTTCGGGCTCATTAGCCACTCATCAGTTCAAGATAGTGGCCATCATCGACCTAAAGTTAATGGTATTCCATAATTGAAAATCGGAATTTTTTCAGAGTATTTCATTCCTCTTCCTAAGTTGGAGCGGACAACAAAATGTCACTCCCTCTAGTGGACGAGGTACTAACCACGTTTTTCCCCGTGGGTTGACCAATAATTGACTACACTGAACAATAATCAAACTTTACTGTATTTCACTTTAAATACAAGAAACACTTCAAATATTATTCGATTGTCTATTGCCTTACTAGATCGCTTCTCGTACCGCACTGTAACTTCCACTTGACTTGTCGATATTCTCGTGGCTGGCGTTTATATATCGTAATCGAAAGCGGTAGAAAATTCGCTGGAATTCCATCGAAGTCGGTAGCATTATTCTCGCTATATCTAGAGCGGCAGCGAACATCGTACATTCGCGCGCTCTTAGCTACGTCACAATTGGCTCATGGCGGCCGGCCTTATTTTCTTTAGGGCGTGATTTACAACAATACGATAACAAAATCTCCCTATCTGTCTATTAGAATTTATGAATATTAATATTTCTATCTCCCTGACAAATAACCACATAACCACTGATCATTTGTTGATAATGATACTTTCGACTTCATTGACGTTCATGCTGATCCTGTTTTTCAACCCTCTCAAGTTATTTATGTTAACCATTTGAGAAAAATCCAAAGTAAAATAGTGGCCACAGACGAAATTACCTGTTATTTCCATTGATTCCTTTAGAATCTCCTTGTTTGTCTCACAAGTATACACTAATCATATGATTATCCTGGCACGGAGAACAACTGATTCAAAAAAATTCTGGAAGCAAAAATGGCTGAGAAAAGAGTCAAATAATTATGGGGATTGCGGTAATCGATATACCGATATTGTGGACTTTAAAGAAGCTACATTTGAAATGAGGATAAAACCAATACGTTGCAATAGATATTTGAATTCATCGAAAGAAAATTGAAATGAAATTCAAGAGATATATTGAATTTCACTCGTCACTCTAGATGCCACAACAAACACAAGTCTGTAGCTAGAACCATTTTCATTTTTTTTTCACCGGACAGGAAATATCTGACGGTTCGTAAAATAAATATGAACTGAGATGGTAGTTGAGATTTATTCTGTACCTTCTATTTTACCTTCGATGTTTTACTGATCTATATCATGGTCTCCGTTATTATCATAATCTGCATCATAATCAATCATTTTATAACCATCAGTCTATTCGATTTGTCTCAAATAGTTAATGGAAAAATTGATTTTTATGTATGTTGTTTTAGGTGTACTATTCAGTGTAGAAATCACAACTGCATACTATGCGGTTAGAAATTACTGGAGAGGATTCTTTGCAGCTGTTTGGGGAGCTACGACGTACAGGTTGCTGTTGGTATGGATTGATAAAGCACAAACTATAACTGTCATTTTCAAAGCAAATTTTTTCATTGATATTCCTTACGATCCTTTGGAACTGATTTCGTTCGCTATTCTAGGGTAAAAGTTGGTACAAAATTAATAATCGATAATTGATAATCAAAACAAATTTTAGTTTGATATGCGGACTGGGAGGATCATTATACATCAACTGTAAACAAATGTTTGACCGTTGGGTGAACAATAACAAATTCATCAAAAAAGTGAAAAAATCTAAGTGAGTACCTAATCTGATATGATTTATTTTGGTTTCATGTTAATTACTCGTTTCTGATTTAGTCGATTCCTTTACCCGGGCTTTGTCATCCTCTTGATATCAACCGTAACGTGGCCTCCAGGTATTGGTCAGTTTATGGCAGCAGAAGTTGCGAATGGACCTCAAGTCATAGATCTCTTCAGCAACTTCACCTGGACGAAAGAAAATCTAACTGTTCTCCAGCAAGAAGTAGTTTCTCATTGGACCACAGATAGAACGGGCATATTCGCTGATCTGGCGATCTATATTTGGTACCAATTCATATTTTCAATTTTGGCATCTTCTTTGCCTATACCAAATGGTTCATTCATACCCAACTTTCGGGCTGGTGCAGCTTTGGGAAGAATTGCTGGGGAATTAATGTATTGTTGGTTCCCTACAGGTATTGTATACATTCCCATTAGTATTATGTGAAGGAATTTGTTCAATACTATCGGTGCTTAGTCTGAATTCACTTATAGTATATTTGATAAAAGTATCACAATTGTATGGCAGAAAAAAAACAGATTTTTTATATTATAATGAGGAATACTGTTGAACGTTTTGTAGCAATGGTTCAACTATTTTTATATAGTTGAAACCGTTCGTAATCGAAAGAGAAAAATTAAGTTGCTTAATGACTTTTATTTATCAAAATTGACAACTACTTCATCAAAAAATATCAACATCTAAACATGTGTACAGGGCACACTCAAAATTAAGTGAAACAGTTTAATACAGAGCTGACTAAAAATTAACTATTTCTAACAAATACCAGAGAATTTCCGGAAAATCAACAAATAAAAAAACGGAAAAATATTAATGCAAATAGTGATTCGATCAGAATGAGTGATTGGGCTGGGCTTTCATCAACTATTGAATTTTTTTGCTCAGGAGGTGTCTGACTTCTCCACTTCTTCCAATAATCCGAAACACATCATGATTTTATTAGTTTTCCTCCCTTCTCTTCATGACACCGATTCCAACAATCTTCTTTCTTTCAACAAGTTTTTTGACAAATATTTTTATTGACCTTTTGGGACATTTTCATCTTCCACAATGTGAAAAAAAATATATATCTGTACAAAAAGCAAATTTTTTAGTTTACCCGGGTAAATTCAAAGTATTTTTCACAAAAATACTGGCGGAATTTTCTTCGATTCACTTCATCTTCAAACTTTCACGACTAATGTCAAATAAATTTCAAAATGTGAAATATGTCAATGTTGTTGATTGACTTCTGAAACATTCGATGTAGTACAAGGTGATATCTGGTATCGGTCTGTGGCTGGTGTGAATGGGTGGAAAGATTGTTCATCCGTTAACGGAGGATATGAGGGCCTCATTCGGGAGGGGTCATCTACAGCATAATCTATATCTTTTCTAACTAACATTTATACGCTGATAATTCGAGTCTAACGTCTTTCATAGTGAGGTTCATTAGCAATCATTTTCGTCTTGTTCCATCAAATTCGATGTTCATCGTTTAATTCCAAAAATGTTTTCTAACAATTGGGAACCCTCCTTTCTTCTCTTCGCTTCGCCGGTTTAGCGGGAGTTGACCGTTTGGCGGCAGTTGACCGTTTTCTGCTCAATCAATCTGCTGATTATGTAGCGTATCTCCACGCTAGCTTGTCTGATTGCGTCGCAGGGCAACATATATGTAGCTTCTTTGAACTTCCTCTCTAACCAGCGTTTCTCTCTGTGAATGATCTAAGCTTAGAACCACTTGGTGTTATGTTGATGAGTCCAAACATGCTCTGCTATTCCAGATTTGCTGGTTTTTCCTCGTATTCCGCGTTTGGTGGCCTGGTTTTCATGAAACTGCTAGATTCGGATCATAGTGGAATCATATCAGAGAAAGGAAGTCCGAAATAAGGAAATTTATGAAGAAGACAATTTTTTTTTACAAAACTGGCCTCTAACAGGGTAAACTTTCAGGCACACATCAATGATTTCGTGTAGAAAGTAGGGTAGAAAGTAGAGTAGAAATAGAAGGTAGAGGACTTTGTTGAAACTTTCAAGAACAGATCCCCGAATATTGAGTTTACATATAAAGCTGAAGACAACGAGGACCAGGGTCTGGAATTTGATGTCTATATAAAGATTACCAACACTTTTAGATATATCCCCAACAGCACACAACATTGTCCACAAAATGAAATGGCAAAACGTAACTGAAAGCAACGGGTATCCTTCAAATATAGGTAGTAGATGAGTTAATTATCAAACGTTAATTTCGGGAGAATCGTCGTGAATCTTTGACTTTTCGAAAAGTCATTGCTTGAAATTTCATTCTCCTTCAATAAAAACCAAGATACACCAAGGTTGAGATTGCATTTTCAAAAAATTGAACGTGAAAGTAGTCTTCAAAATTTTCTGTGAAAATGTCGGACTATATGAAATGAGCAGTAAGGACAATAGCAAGCTATTGAAAGTCTATTCAAAAAACATGTAGAACGTATTAGATTTCAGACAACAGAAAAATCTAGTGTTGCTAAGTGGGAACATTACACTAGATTTTTGGATGCTTTCAAAAGTCAAGAAATAGCAAAGTATGGTATGAAGTCTATGAACAGTAACAAAGGTCCTATTCCAAATAACCCATTGTTTATCTTTATCTGAATCTCTCTGTTAAAAATCGGTAACTTCAACAAATAAATTTCACACGAATTTCTACCCGAAAACATTGATGTATTTTGGAGTAAAAATCAGTCTACTTCATCTCCTAAATACGTCAGTTCTGTGGTGAAACGCGCATTGAGAGGGGTAGGTATTGCAGTTCTGGTGTTTGAAAATAGTGCTTGTTGTTTTGGATTCCATAGCAACAAGAACTAGAATCTAACAATTCAGACCCTGGTTCCATGTAGTTTTTCCCAACAGTGAAAGCTGCAGTAGAAGGATGACTCTCTATCAGTAGTCGATGAGAAAGATTGGCTTTACAACTGGCCGTCTTGGGAAGCCTTGTTTATTTTTGATTTACATGGATTGAGTCTTTTGTCGTTCCCAAAGATTGCGTCTCCATAAGGGGATATATCATCGCTTTTACTTACTCAGGCATTCCTGACTTAGCTTAGCACCATTTGACGAGTCAAAATAGCACTGATTAGGAGGGCTTTGTTTTTGGGTAATGGTTTCAACAACCAAAATTCTGTTCAGAAGAATATGAAAAATATTCAACGAAGGGCCTGCACAAACTGGTACAAAGAACAAACTTGTAATTGGTGCCATGAGAACATGAAAATAAAGTCATGACACTGCAGTGTTCTCTACAGAACTGGAAAAAAATAGCCAAGTCAGGTAGCCCTGAGCAGATGGAAAAGCAACCAGCTGAAATACAAATTTCTACCAGCACAGTATATACCACTTCCGTTACACGTTTGGCTTTTCACTCTAATATTCAGTGAAATTAATATCTCTAATTGTTACTCACAGAACTAGTGGGCCAAGCTGACATTTAGATCTCTGCGATTGATATGAACCAGAGAATACAAGACTCGAGAAAACGTTCCACGAACGATTCGCACAACTACATTAACGCAACATTGCAAGGAAAAGCCCCCACCTCATTTGATTTTCACAAAAAACACTCAATTCAAAATGCTACAAGGAACTATGAATTACCGAAGCCCTGTTTGTTTCACTCTACAGATTCCCCCGATTGAGATGAGATGAAAAGTAACAATTGGAAATGACTGGGATGGTTATTCCTTCATCAGAATCTTTACAAATAAGCAGGTTTTACTATCCATATAGCTTAGAGTCGATCCATTTTATCCATAATAATAAAGTAACTTTTACAGTTTGTTGTCTATTACCATTTTTTTGTTCAGTTGACAGATTTTAACTTCATCAAAAAATATCAAC